CAGGCATTAAAATGACCCAGCTCACTTTCCTATTGAAGAGCCTAAATGCAAATTTATACCATTATCTTTTGGGATGCATTTTATGAGTGTTTGCCTGTATGTGCATCACATACATGCTTGGTATCGATAGAGCCATAAAGAGGGTGTCAGACCCTTTGTGACAAGAGTTACAGAGGGTTGTGAGGCCCCTTGTCTGTGCTAGGAACTAACCAACAAGTGTTCTTAGCCTGACTCCTCTCTCCAGCCCAGAAAGAGCTTTCCTTAAGGGAGCCTCCGGGTTAGTCAGAAGGCCTTCTAGGGACAACGAACATCTTGCTCTCCTTCCTCTTCCTCTTCTCTTCATCCGGAGCTTTGGATTCTCAAACCCTTGAGTTAAACAGACCGAGTTACAATCTCCGCAAGAGTTCTTCGTCAAGTTTAAACTGTTCTGATGGGAACTGAAGCCCCTGCTCTCAGCCCGAGTTAGACTTCAGCTGAAGGATGGGAAGGCTGCTCAAGATTTTGCTCATTCTAACCCACACCGAGCCTGGGTGGAGGAGGGAGCTGGAGCAGAGGAGATGTGGAAAAGACCCAAGAAGGCTCAACAGTCAGGCCCAAGTTCTTTCTTCCTGGGTTTAACCCCAGCACCAACAACTACCCCAACAAGGAACAGAAAGGGTGACAATCAACAAGAACTTGAACTGTTTAGACAGAAAAAGAAATAAGGCTGTGCGTCACACTCACACTTGACACTTCCAAAGCACTGGAGAGTTTATTAAGAGCGAAGCCTCTGGTAGGATGTGGATCTGGGCAGCCCAGCCTCTGCTTCCCAGGTTCCCAGCCTCCTCCACCAGAGCCCAGGCCAGCCTGAGTCTGCACAGGGCAGGACCGGGACACTTAACGAAACACAAAGAAATCCCAGAAGTTTAAGGCCCAAGCGGGGTGCTCATAGAAAACATACTTCACTTGAACAAATACCTTCTAAAGAACCAACTTAATTCTGATCCTTAGAACTCGAAGCTACTTTGTGGAGCTGACATTCAGTTCAGCGCTTTAGGCCGGCAGTGGAGGAGGGCCTGGGCTCCCCTGGGCTCTGCTACAAGGCTGGGGGCCCCCGAACGAGGCCTGGAAAGTAAGCTGATAATCAGGCTCCTCCTTCCACACCCCACCGAACTCAACACAATGGTCTTTTCTGCTGTCTTTGTCAAACAAAGGTCTGCTGGGGATGCTTCACAGTGAAACCTCCATCATCACTGAGAATGTCTCTAGAAAACAGCCTTAAGGAACAAGGCTCTCTCAAAGGCTCAAACTCAGGCTTCTCAAAGCTCCATGTTCTACTGAGATGTTCCATGAGGAAGCCTGCTTGTTTTTGAGGTGCACCCTTGACCCTCACATTGACTGTACTCCAGTCATAGGTTGTGGCTGTCCTTCTTCTTGGTCAACACCTGCAGGTAGACTTCATGAAGTGTACTGAGGAAGCTAGAGTCATTCTTTATTAGATGTATCAGTGTGCCCTGGAGCTGAGACTTGCTGAGAATAATGGAAGGCTTTCTCTGATTTTCTGGCGTTCCAACAGTGAGGGGAGAGGGAGAGCTTGCTTTCCTCTCCAGGTCTGTGGACCTGGGGACTGTCTGCTGGAACACACTGGGGGACAGCAGGATAGAAGACACTGCTGTGGTTGCTGCAGTGACCAACGCAGGGCCTGCAATCTGAAGGGTTGGAGCAAGCACCATGTTGCTCAGGGAGGCTGAGGGCACTGCTCTGGCTGCTGCTGTCTTAGAGGGAGGCTCTATGAAGCTCTCAGGGGTGGCCAGCCGGCCAGCTGCTGAGGAAATGCCAGGTGCCACTGCACCTTTTCCAAGAGGCGGCGGCGGCAACTGTGTTTGGTCATCCTGTGGGGTCAACCTGAGTTTCTGGAGCAGATCAACGCTGGGGAGGGATGTGCCAGTGGGGCTTGACAGACTCACTGGGGCTCTGAAGGGGCTTAGCTCAGGAACTGGCTGGCTCAGGAGTGGAGACTTCTGTCTGGGTGTGGTCTTCACTGCTTGCATCATGGTGCTATTCAGAGGTAAGTGAGGAACCTGTGTGGTGGGAGCTTCGGCTGGCAGAGCAGGACTGAGGACCGGGCTCAGCGCGACGGTGTAGCTTGCGGCATGCTTTTCCCCTGACTGGGCAATGGAGGCTGGAGTGATGAGCACGGGGGGCGCTGACTTCAGGCTGGACTGTGTGGGGAGCAACAGAATGGACACCCAGGTTTTCAGACTGTGGCACGCCCGCTGACTGCTCATCATCTCCGGGCGGCTTCTCCACGTCTTCTGACTCAAGACCCACAACTGATGGTTGCTCCTTTGGCAAAGAGGTTCCAAATAACTCTTCTACTGTCAGGTGTTTGTGACCCGATGGAGCAGACTTATCTTGTAACCCAGAGGGTGTCTCGTCTAGTGTCTCGGTGCTTCCCAGATTGGAGAGCTGAGTGCTTGGCTGTAACCCAGGGCTGGAGATATTTGAGCCGCCCATCTGATTCCTCTCATACTCATCCTTGGCCCTGCTGAGCATCTCCAGGATGTCAATGGGCCTCTGGTCGTTGCAGCCATTGGCCTGGCTGGGACTCTGTTTCTCTTGAGCAGCCTGCTGGGATCGCCGGGTCTCCTCTTTGACCACATCAGCCATGAGTTTTGCTATGCGGTGACAGTCATTCTTGTCATAAAACCAGATACTGTATATCGACAAGCTTGCATTTCTATACAGAAGAAATGGTTCGTGGAGCTGAAATTCCAAATCTTTATTCACTGGTTCGACCAGGTTGTGCATGTTCAGTCGGTTGACAACGGTGAAACCATGGTAAGGTGAAGCGGACCTTCGATACACAAATAGGGTCCCTTCTATATCAGCCTTCTCCCACTGGTTGGCTTTAGGGCAGAAAGTGTAGAGCGCGACATGGCCCGCAAGGTCTGCGATGCTGGTGATATAGGGGTCGCGTCGCTTCAAGGCCGCCAGACTCATCTCATGCCCCGCTCGACTCAACGACTCCATCTTGGATCCCGGAGCCGAACCTAGCTCAAAAACCAACCAAACAAATAAATAAATAAATTCTTAAAAAGAATAAAATGTTTCAGTCAGATGATGCCAACATGTCAAGTAAGATTACAACCTTTATTTAACAACATAAGGGCATTAGTAACCTTTTTTTTTTTTGGTTTTTCGAGACAGGCTTTCTCTGTGTAGCTTTGCGCCTTTCCTGGAACTCGCTCTGTAGACCAGGCTGGCCTCGAATTCACAGAGATCTACCTGGCTCTGCCTCCTGAGTACTGGGATTAAAGGGGTGCACCACCACTGCCGGGCAGGTATTAGTAACCTTGACAAAAGATACTTTGAGTTTTGGGAACAAAAACTTTGTTTTTCGAGACAGGGTTTCTCTGTGTAGTTTTGGTGCCTGTCCTGGAACTACTCTGTAGCCCAGGCTGGCCTCGAACTCACAGAGATCCACCAGGCTCTACATCCTGAGTGCTGGGATTAAAGGTGTGCACCACCACCGCCCGGTGGAACAAAAGCTGTGGTTCACTAGACAATGGGGTAAAGGAATGTGGTGGTGCTTGCCTGTTGATCCTGGCACTTGGAAAGAGAAGGCAGGAGAATCAGGAGTTCAGCAG